TCGGACTTGCAATTTTTGTATTCTTGAAGCAGCCATTTGCTGAACTCGAGATGACCTTCTGAACACAACCAGTGGAAAGCCGTCCGGCCTTCGTCATCTGGCGATGAAATCAATGAATTTCTGTCCGATGAGTTCACCGATTTAAGATAACCGAAGCAATTTCAGTTTTGTCATTTGCAGCTGCGACATGAAGTACGCTTAATTTGTCTTTGTTTTTTTTTTTCACACAAGCCAGATCAATGCTGGCGAGCCAACTAACAATTTCAAGATGATTTCTCCGCACAGCCAGCATAAGAGGCGTGATTCAATAGTTACTTTTAATTGTGTGTAACAGCGGATCAGATTCGGACTTGCAATTCTTGTATTCTTCAAGCAGCCAATTGCTGAAATCCATATGACCTTGTGAACACGACGAGTGGAAAGCCGTCCGGCCTTCGTCATCTGGCGATGAAATCAAGGAACTTTTGTCCGATGAGTTCACTATTTTAAGAGAACCGAAGCAATTTCAGTTTTGCCCTTTAAAGCTGCGACATTGAGTACGCTTCATTTGTCTTTGTTTTGTATTTTCATACCAGCCAGATCAATGCTAGCGAGCCAACTAACAATTTCAAGATGATTTCTCAGCACAGCCAGCATAAGGGGCGTGAGTCCAATGTTACTTTGAATTGTGTGTAACAGCGGATCAGATTCGGACTTGCAACTCTTGTATTCTTCTAGCGGCCATTTGCTGAACTCGAGATGACCCTGTGAAGACGACTTGCGCAAAGCCGTTCTGCCACCCTTGTCTGGTGATGAAAAGAATGAACTTTTGTCCGATGAGTTCAACGACTCAAAAAGAGCAGAAGCAATTTCAGTTTTGCGTTTGCAGCTGCTACATGAAGTTTGCTTACTTTGTCTTTGTTTTGTTTTTTCATACAACCCGGATCAATGCTGGCAAGCCAACTAACAATTTCAAGATGATTTCTCAGCACAGCCAGCATAAGAGGCGCGAGTCCAATGTTACTTTGAATTGTGTGTAACAGCGGATCAGATTCGGACTTGCAATTCTTGTATTCTTCTAGCAGCCATTTGCTGAACTCGAGATGACCCTGTGAAGACGACTTGTGCAAAGCCGTTCTGCCACCCTTGTCTGGTGATGAAATCAATGAACTTTTGTCCGATGAGTTCAACGACTCAAAAAGAGCAGAAGCAATTTCAGTTTTGCCGTTTGCAGCTGCTACATGAAGTTTGCTTAATTTGTCTTTGTTTTGTTTTTTCATACAAGCCGGCTCAATGCTGGCAAGCCAACTAACAATTTCAAGACGATTTCTCAGCACAGCCAGCATAAGAGGCGCGAGTCCAATGTTACTTTGAATTGTGTGTAACAGCGGATCAGATTCGGACTTGCAATTCTTGTATTCTTCTAGCAGCCATTTGCTGAACTCGAGATGACCCTGTGAACACGACTTGTGCAAAGCCGTTCTGCCACCCTCGTCTGGTGATGAAATCAATGAACTTTTGTCCGATGAGTTCAACGACTCAAAAAGAGCAGAAGCAATATCAGTTTTGCCGTTTGCAGCTGCGACATGAAATTTGCTTAAATTGTCTTTGTTTTGTTTTGTTTTTTCATACAAGCCGGCTCAAAGCTGGCAAGCCAACTAACAATTTCAAGATGATTTCTCCGCACAGCCAGCATAAGATGCGTGATTCCATAGTTACTTTGAATTGTGTGTAACAGCGGATCAGATTCTGACTTGCAATTCTTGTATTCTTCAAGCAGCCAATTGCTGATCTCGAGATGACCCTGTGAACACGACGAGTGGAAAGCCGTCCGGCCTTCGTCATCTGGCGATGAAATCAAGGAACTTTTGTCCGATGAGTTCACTATTTTAAGAGAACCGAAGCAATTTCAGTTTTGCCCTTTAAAGCTGCGACATTGAGTACGCTTCATTTGTCTTTGTTTTGTATTTTCATACCAGCAAGATCAATGCTAGCGAGCCAACTAACAATTTCAAGATGATTTCTCAGCACAGCCAGCATAAGAGGCGTGAGTCCAATGTTACTTTGAATTGTGTGTAACAGCGGATCAGATTCGGACTTGCAACTCTTGTATTCTTCTAGCAGCCATTTGCTGAACTCGAGATGACCCTGTGAAGACGACTTGCGCAAAGCCGTTCTGTCACCCTTGTCTGGTGATGAAATCAAGGAACTTTTGTCCGATGAGTTCAACGACTCAAAAAGAGCAGAAGCAATTTCAGTTTTGCGTTTGCAGCTGCTACATGAAGTTTGCTTACTTTGTCTTTGTTTTGTTTTTTCATACAAGCCGGATCAATGCTGGCAAGCCAACTAACAATTTCAAGATGATTTCTCAGCACAGCCAGCATAAGAGGCGCGAGTCCAATGTTACTTTGAATTGTGTGTAACAGCGGATCAGATTCGGACTTGCAATTCTTGTATTCTTCTAGCAGCCATTTGCTGAACTCGAGATGACCCTGTCAAGACGACTTGTGCAAAGCCGTTCTGCCACCCTTGTCTGGTGATGAAATCAATGAACTTTTGTCCGATGAGTTCAACGACTCAAAAAGAGCAGAAGCAGTTTCAGTTTTGCCGTTTGCAGCTGCTACATGAAGTTTGCTTAATTTGTCTTTGTTTTATTTTTTCATACAAGCCGGCTCAATGCTGGCAAGCCAACTAACAATTTCAAGATGATTTCTCAGCACAGCCAGCATAAGAGGCGCGAGTCCAATGTTACTTTGAATTGTGTGTAACAGCGGATCAGATTCGGACTTGCAATTCTTGTATTCTTCTAGCAGCCATTTGCTGAGCTCGAGATGACCCTGTCAAGACGACTTGTGCAAAGCCGTTCTGCCACCCTTGTCTGGTGATGAAATCAATGAACTTTTGTCCGATGAGTTCAACGACTCAAAAAGAGCAGAAGCAATTTCAGTTTTGCCGTTTGCAGCTGCTACATGAAGTTTGCTTAATTTGTCTTTGTTTTGTTTTTTCATACAAGCCGGCTCAATGCTGGCAAGCCAACTAACAATTTCAAGATGATTTCTCAGCACAGCCAGCATAAGAGGCGCGAGTCCAATGTTACTTTGAATTGTGTGTAACAGCGGATCAGATTCGGACTTGCAATTCTTGTATTCTTCTAGCAGCCATTTGCTGAACTCGAGATGACCCTGTGAACTCGACTTGTGCAAAGCCGTTCTGCCACCCTCGTCTGGTGATGAAATCAATGAACTTTTGTCCGATGAGTTCAACGACTCAAAAAGAGCAAAAGCAATATCAGTTTTGCCGTTTGCAGCAGTGACATGAAATTTGCTTAATTTGTCTTTGTTTTGTTTTGTTTTTTCATACAAGCCGGCTCAATGCTGGCAAGCCAACTAACAATTTCAAGATGATTTCTCCGCACAGCCAGCATAAGAGGCGTGATTCCATAGTTACTTTGAATTGTGTGTAACAGCGGATCAGATTCTGACTTGTAATTCTTGTATTTTTCTAGCAGCTATTTGCTGAACTGGAGATGACCTTGTGAACACGACCAGTGGTAAGCCGTCCGGCCTTTGTCATCTGGCGATGAAATCAAGGAACTTTTATGCGATGAATTCAATTATTTTAAGAGAACAGAAGCAATTTCAGTTTTGTCGTTTGCAACTGCGAAATGAAGTACGCTTACTTTGTCTTGTTTTGTATTTTCATACAAGCCAGATCAATGCTGGCGAGCCAACCAACAATTTCAAGATGATTTTTCAGCACAGCCAGCTTAGGAGGCGTGATTCCATTGTTATCTTGAATTGTGTGTAACAGCGGATCAGATTCTGACTTGTAATTCTTGTATTTTTCTAGCAGCCATTTGCTGAACTGGAGATGACCTTGTGAACACGACCAGTGGAAAGCCGTCAGGCCTTCGTCATCTGGCGATGAAATCAATGAACTTTTGTCCGATGAGTTCACCGATTTTAAGAGAACCAAAGCAATTTCAGTTTTGCCATTTGTAGCTGCGACATGAAGTACGCTTAATTTGCTTTTGTTTTGTAATTTCATACAAGACAGATCAATGCTGGCGAGCCAACCAACAATTTCAAGATCACTTCTCAGCACAGCCAGCACAAGAGGCGTGATTCCATTGTTATATTGAACTGTGTGTAAGAGCGGATCAGATTCTGACTTGTAATTCTTGTAATATTCTAGCAGCCATTTGCAGAACTCGAGATGACCTTGTGAACACGACCAGTGGAAAGCCGTCAGGCCTTCGTCATCTGGCGATGAAATCAATGAACTTTTCTCCGATGGGTTCACCAATTTTAAGAGAACAGAAGCAATTTCAGTTTTGTCGTGTGCAGCTGCAAAATGAAGTACGGTTTTTTTCTTTTTGTTTTGTATTTTCATACAAGCCAGATCAATGCTGGCGAGCCAACTAACAATTTCAAGATCACATCTCAGCACAGCCAGCATAAGAGGCGTTTTTCCATCGTTATCTCGTATTGTGTGTAACAGCGGATCAGATTTGGACTTGCAATTCTTGTGTTCTTCTAGCAGCCATTTGCTGAACTCGAGATGACCTTGTGAACACGACTTGTGGAAAATCCTTCTGCCACCGTTGTCTGGTGATGAAATCAATGAATTTTGTCCGATGACATCAATAACTTTAAGAGAACCGAAGCAATTTCAGTTTTGCCATTTGCAGCTGCGACATGAAGTACGTTTAATTTGTCTTTGTTTTGTAATTTCATACAAGCCAGATCAATGCTGGCGAGCCAACTAACAATTTCAAGATGATTACTCAACAGAGCCAGCATAAGAGGCGTTTTTCCATCATTATGTCGTATTGTGTGTAACAGCGGATCAGATTCTGACTTGCAGTTCTTGTATTCTTCTAGCAGCCATTTTTTGAACTCGAGATGACCCTGTGAACACGACTTGTGCAAAGCCGTTCTGCCACCCTTGTCTGGTGATGAAACCAATGAATTTTTGTCCGATGAGTTCAACGACTCAAAAAGAGCAGAAGCAATTTCAGTTTAGCCGTTTGCAGCTGCGGCATGAAGTTTGCTTAATTTGTCTTTGTTTTGTTTTTTCATACAAGCTGGCTCAATGCTGGCAAGCCAACTAACAATTTCAAGATGATTTCTCAGCACAGCCAGCATAAGAGGCGTGAGTCCATTGTTACTTTGAATTGTGTGTAACTGCGGATCAGATTCGGACTTGCAATTCTTGTATTCTTCCAGCAGCCATTTGCTGAACTCGAGATGACCCTGTGAACACGACTTGTGCAAAGCCGTTCTGCCACCCTTGTCTGGTGATGAAATCAATGAACTTTTGTCCGATGAGTTCAACGACTCGAAAAGAGCAGAAGCAATTTCAGTTTTGCCGTTTGCAGCTGCGACATGAAGTTTGCTTAGTTTGGCTTTGTTTTGTTTTTTCATACAAGCTGGCTCAATGCTGGCAAGCCAAATAACAATTTCAAGATTATTTCGCAGCACAGCCAGCATAAGAGGCGTGAGTCCAATGTTACTTTGAATTGTGTGTAACAGCGGATCAGATTCTGACTTGTAATTCTTGTATTCTTCTAGCAGCCATTTGCTGAACTGGAGATGACCTTGTGAACACGACTTGTGCAAAGCCGTTCTGCCACCCTTGTCTGGTGATGAAAGCAATGAACTTTCGTCCGATGAGTTCAACGAATCAAAAAGAGCAGAAGCAATTTCAGTTTTGCCGTTTGCAGCTGCGACATGAAGTTTGCTTAATTAGTCTTTGTTTTGTTTTTTCATACAAGCTGGCTCAATGCTGGCAAGCCAACTAACAATTTCAAGATGATTTCGCAGCACAGCCAGCATAAGAGGCGTGAGTCCAATGTTACTTTGAATTGTGTGAAACAGCGGATCAGATTCGGACTTGCAATTCTTGTGTTCTTCCAGCAGCCATTTGCTGAACTCGAGATGATCCTGTGAACACGACTTGTGCAAAACCGTTCTGCCACCCTGGTCTGGTGATGAAATCAATGAACTTTTGTCCGATGAGTTCAACGACTCAAAAAGAGCAGAAGCATTTTCAGTTTTGCCGTTTGCAGCTGCGACTTGAAGTTTGCTTAATTTGTCTTTGTTTTGTTTTTTCATACAAGCCGGCTCAATGCTGGCAAGCCAACTAACAATTTCAAGATGATTTCTCCGCACAGCCAGCATAAGAGGCGTGATTTCATAGTTATTTTGAATTGTGTGTAACAGCGGATCAGATTCTGACTTGCAATTCTTGTATTCTTCAAGCAGACATTTGCTGAACTCGAGATGACCTTGTGAACACGACCGGTGGAAAGCCGTCCGGCCTTTGTCATCTGGCGATGAAATCAAGGAACTTTTATGCGATGAATTCAATGATTTTAAGAGAACAGAAGCAATTTCAGTTTTGTCGTTTGCAACTGCGAAATGAAGTACGCTTACTTTGTCTTGTTTTGTATTTTCATACAAGCCAGATCAATGCTGGCGAGCCAACCAACAATTTCAAGATGTTTTTTCAGCACAGCCAGCTTAGGAGGCGTGATTCCATTGTTATCTTGAATTGTGTGTAACAGCGGATCAGATTCTGACTTGTAATTCTTGTATTTTTCTAGCAGCCATTTGCTGAACTGGAGATGACCTTGTGAACACGACCAGTGGAAAGCCGTCAGGCCTTCGTCATCTGGTGATGAAATCAATGAACTTTTGTCCGATGAGTTCACCGACTTTAAGAGAACCGAAGCAATTTCAGTTTTGCCATTTTTAGCTGCGACATGAAGTACGCTTAATTTGTTTTTGTTTTGTAATTTCATACAAGCCAGATCAATGCTGGCGAGCCAACCAACATTTTCAAGATCACTTCTCAGCACAGCCAGCACAAGAGGCGTGATTCCATTGTTATATTGAACTGTGTGAAAGAGCGGATCAGATTCTGACTTGTAACCCTTGTAACCTTCTAGCAGCCATTTGCAGAACTCGAGATGACCTTGTGAACACGACCAGTGGAAAGCCGTCAGGCCTTCGTCATCTGGCGATGAAATCAATGAACTTTTGTCCGATGGGTTCACCAATTTTAAGAGAACAGAAGCAATTTCAGTTTTGTCGTGTGCAGCTGCAAAATGAAGTACGGTTTTTTTTCTTTTTGTTTTGTATTTTCATACAAGTCAGATCAATGCTGGCGAGCCAACCAACAATTTCAAGATCACTTCTCAGCACAGCCAGCACAAGAGGCGTGATTCCATTGTTATATTGAATTGTGTGTAAGAGCGGATCAGATTCTGAAGTGTAATTATTGTATTCTTCTAGCAGCCATTTGCTGAAATCGAGATGACCTTGTGAACACGACCAGTGGAAAACCGTCAGGCCTTCGTCATCTGGCGATGAAATCAATGAACTTTTGTCCGATGAGTTCACCAATTTTAAGAGATATGAAGCAATTTCAGTTTTGCCATTTGCAGCTGCGACATGAAGTACGCTTAATTTGTTTTTGTTTTGTAATTTCATACAAGCCAGATCAATGCTGGCGAGCCAACTAACAATTTCCAGATGATTACTCAGCACAGCCAGCATAAGAGGCGTTTTTCCATCGTTATCTCGTATTGTGTGTAACAGCGGATCAGATTCGGACTTGCAATTCTTGTGTTCTTCTAGCAGCCATTTGCTGAACTCGAGATGACCTTGTGAACACGACTTGTGGAAAGCCGTCATACCTTCATCATCTGGCGATGAAATCAATGAATTTTTGTCCGATGAGTTCACCGATTTTAAGAGAACCGAAGCAATTTCAGTTTTGCCATTTGCAGCTGCGACATGAAGTACACTTAATTTGTCTTCGTTCTGTAATTTCATACAAGCCAGATCAATGCTGGCAAGCCAACTAACAATTTCCAGATGATTACTCAGCACAGCCAGCATAAGAGTAGTTTTTCCATCGTTATCTCGTATTATGTGTAACAGCGGATCAGATTCTGACTTGTAATTCTTGTATTCTTCTAGCAGCCATTTGCTGAACTCGAGATGACCTTCTGAACACGACCAGTGGAAAGCCGTCATACCTTCATCATCTGGCGATGAAATCAATGAATTTTTGTCCGATGAGTTCACCGATTTTAAGAGAACCGAAGCAATTTCAGTTTTGCCATTTGCAGCTGCGACATGAAGTACACTTAATTTGTCTTCGTTCTGTAATTTCATACAAGCCAGATCAATGCTGGCGAGTCAACCAACAATTTCAAGATGATTTCTCAGCACAGCAAGCACAAGAGGCGTGATTCCATTGTTATTTTGAATTGTGTGTAACAGCGGATCAGATTCTGACTTGTAATTCTTGTATTCTTCTAGCAGCCATTTGCTGAAATCGAGATGACCTTCTGAACACGACCAGTGGAAAGCCGTCATACCTTCATCATCTGGCGATGAAATCAATGAATTTTTGTCCGATGAGTTCACCGATTTTAAGAAAACCGAAGCAATTTCAGTTTTGCCATTTGCAGCTGCGACATGAAGTACACTTAATTTGTCTTCGTTCTGTAATTTCATACAAGCCAGATCAATGCTGGCGAGTCAACCAACAATTTCAAGATGATTTCGCAGCACAGCCAGCATAAGAGGCGTGAGTCCAATGTTACTTTGAATTGTGTGAAACAGCGGATCAGATTCGGACTTGCAATTCTTGTGTTCTTCCAGCAGCCATTTGCTGAACTCGAGATGATCCTGTGAACACGACTTGTGCAAAGCCGTTCTGCCACCCTGGTCTGGTGATGAAATCAATGAACTTTTGTCCGATGAGTTCAACGACTCAAAAAGAGCAGAAGCATTTTCAGTTTTGCCGTTTGCAGCTGCGACATGAAGTTTGCTTAATTTGTCTTTGTTTTGTTTTTTTCATACAAGCCGGCTCAATGCTGGCAAGCCAACTAACAATTTCAAGATGATTTCTCCGCACAGCCAGCATAAGAGGCGTGATTTCATAGTTATTTTGAATTGTGTGTAACAGCGGATCAGATTCTGACTTGCAATTCTTGTATTCTTCAAGCAGACATTTGCTGAACTCGAGATGACCTTGTGAACACGACCGGTGGAAAGCCGTCCGGCCTTTGTCATCTGGCGATGAAATCAAGGAACTTTTATGCGATTAATTCAATGATTTTAAGAGAACAGAAGCAATTTCAGTTTTGTCGTTTGCAACTGCGAAATGAAGTACGCTTACTTTGTCTTGTTTTGTATTTTCATACAAGCCAGATCAATGCTGGCGAGCCAACCAACAATTTCAAGATGTTTTTTCAGCACAGCCAGCTTAGGAGGCGTGATTCCATTGTTATCTTGAATTGTGTGTAACAGCGGATCAGATTCTGACTTGTAATTCTTGTATTTTTCTAGCAGCCATTTGCTGAACTGGAGATGACCTTGTGAACACGACCAGTGGAAAGCCGTCAGGCCTTCGTCATCTGGTGATGAAATCAATGAACTTTTGTCCGATGAGTTCACCGACTTTAAGAGAACCGAAGCAATTTCAGTTTTGCCATTTGTAGCTGCGACATGAAGTACGCTTAATTTGTTTTTGTTTTGTAATTTCATACAAGCCAGATCAATGCTGGCGAGCCAACCAACATTTTTAAGATCACTTCTCAGCACAGCCAGCACAAGAGGCGTGATTCCATTGTTATATTGAACTGTGTGAAAGAGCGGATCAGATTCTGACTTGTAACCCTTGTAACCTTCTAGCAGCCATTTGCAGAACTCGAGATGACCTTGTGAACACGACCAGTGGAAAGCCGTCAGGCCTTCGTCATCTGGCGATGAAATCAATGAACTTTTGTCCGATGGGTTCACCAATTTTAAGAGAACAGAAGCAATTTCAGTTTTGTCGTGTGCAGCTGCAAAATGAAGTACGGTTTTTTTCTTTTTGTTTTGTTTTTTCATACAAGTCAGATCAATGCTGGCGAGCCAACCAACAATTTCAAGATCACTTCTCAGCACAGCCAGCACAAGAGGCGTGATTCCATTGTTATATTGATTTGTGTGTAAGAGCGGATCAGATTCTGAAGTGTAATTCTTGTATTCTTCTAGCAGCCATTTGCTGAAATCGAGATGACCTTGTGAACACGACCAGTGGAAAACCGTCAGGCCTTCGTCATCTGGCGATGAAATCAATGAACTTTTGTCCGATGAGTTCACCAATTTTAAGAGATATGAAGCAATTTCAGTTTTGCCATTTGCAGCTGCGACATGAAGTACGCTTAATTTGTTTTTGTTTTGTAATTTCATACAAGCCAGATCAATGCTGGCGAGCCAACTAACAATTTCCAGATGATTACTCAGCACAGCCAGCATAAGAGGCGTTTTTCCATCGTTATCTCGTATTGTGTGTAACAGCGGATCAGATTCGGACTTGCAATTCTTGTGTTCTTCTAGCAGCCATTTGCTGAACTCGAGATGACCTTGTGAACACGACTTGTGGAAAACCTTTCTGCCACCGTTGTCTGGTGATGAAATTAAGGAATTTTTTTTTGTCCGATGAATTCAATGACTTTAAGAGAACCGAAGCAATTTCAGTTTTGCCGTTTGCAGCTGCGACATGAAGTAGGCTTAGTTTGTCTTTGTTTTGTAATTTCATACAAGCCAGATCAATGCTGGCAAGCCAACTAACAATTTCCAGATGATTACTCAGCACAGCCAGCATAAGAGTAGTTTTTCCATCGTTATCTCGTATTATGTGTAACAGCGGATCAGATTCTGACTTGTAATTCTTGTATTCTTCTAGCAGCCATTTGCTGAACTCGAGATGACCTTCTGAACACGACCAGTGGAAAGCCGTCATACCTTCATCATCTGGCGATGAAATCAATGAATTTTTGTCCGATGAGTTCACCGATTTTAAGAGAACCGAAGCAATTTCAGTTTTGCCATTTGCAGCTGCGACATGAAGTACACTTAATTTGTCTTCGTTCTGTAATTTCATACAAGCCAGATCAATGCTGGCGAGTCAACCAACAATTTCAAGATGATTTCTCAGCACAGCAAGCACAAGAGGCGTGATTCCATTGTTATTTTGAATTGTGTGTAACAGCGGATCAGATTCTGACTTGTAATTCTTGTATTCTTCTAGCAGCCATTTGCTGAAATCGAGATGACCTTGTGAACACGACCAGTGGAAAACCGTCAGGCCTTCGTCATCTGGCGATGAAATCAATGAACTTTTGTCCGATGAGTTCACCAATTTTAAGAGATATGAAGCAATTTCAGTTTTGCCATTTGCAGCTGCGACATGAAGTACGCTTAATTTGTTTTTGTTTTGTAATTTCATACAAGCCAGATCAATGCTGGCGAGCCAACCAACAATTTCAAGATCACTTCTCAGCACAGCCAGCACAAGAGGCGTGATTCCATTGTTATATTGAATTGTGTGTAAGAGCGGATCAGATTCTGAAGTGTAATTCTTGTATTCTTCTAGCAGCCATTTGCTGAAATCGAGATGACCTTGTGAACACGACCAGTGGAAAACCGTCAGGCCTTCGTCATCTGGCGATGAAATCAATGAACTTTTGTCCGATGAGTTCACCAATTTTAAGAGATATGAAGCAATTTCAGTTTTGCCATTTGCAGCTGCGACATGAAGTACGCTTAATTTGTTTTTGTTTTGTAATTTCATACAAGCCAGATCAATGCTGGCGAGCCAACTAACAATTTCCAGATGATTACTCAGCACAGCCAGCATAAGAGGCATTTTTCCATCGTTATCTCGTATTGTGTGTAACAGCGGATCAGATTCGGACTTGCAATTCTTGTGTTCTTCTAGCAGCCATTTGCTGAACTCGAGATGACCTTGTGAACACGACTTGTGGAAAGCCTTTCTGCCACCGTTGTCTGGTGATGAAATTAAGGAATTTTTGTCCGATGAATTCAATGACTTTAAGAGAACCGAAGCAATTTCAGTTTTGCCATTTGCAGCTGCGACATGAAGTAGGCTTAGTTTGTCTTTGTTTTGTAATTTCATACAAGCCAGATCAATGCTGGCAAGCCAACTAACAATTTCCAGATGATTACTCAGCACAGCCAGCATAAGAGTAGTTTTTCCATCGTTATCTCGTATTATGTGTAACAGCGGATCAGATTCTGACTTGTAATTCTTGTATTCTTCTAGCAGCCATTTGCTGAACTCGAGATGACCTTCTGAACACGACCAGTGGAAAGCCGTCATACCTTCATCATCTGGCGATGAAATCAATGAATTTTTGTCCGATGAGTTCACCGATTTTAAGAGAACCGAAGCAATTTCAGTTTTGCCATTTGCAGCTGCGACATGAAGTACACTTAATTTGTCTTCGTTCTGTAATTTCATACAAGCCAGATCAATGCTGGCGAGTCAACCAACAATTTCAAGATGATTTCTCAGCACAGCAAGCGCAAGAGGCGTGATTCCATTGTTATTTTGAATTGTGTGTAACAGCGGATCAGATTCTGACTTGTAATTCTTGTATTCTTCTAGCAGCCATTTGCTGAAATCGAGATGACCTTGTGAACACGACCAGTGGAAAACCGTCAGGCCTTCGTCATCTGGCGATGAAATCAATGAACTTTTGTCCGATGAGTTCACCAATTTTAAGAGATATGAAGCAATTTCAGTTTTGCCATTTGCAGCTGCGACATGAAGTACGCTTAATTTGTTTTTGTTTTGTAATTTCATACAAGCCAGATCAATGCTGGCGAGCCAACCAACAATTTCAAGATCACTTCTCAGCACAGCCAGCACAAGAGGCGTGATTCCATTGTTATATTGAATTGTGTGAAAGAGCGGATCAGATTCTGAAGTGTAATTCTTGTATTCTTCTAGCAGCCATTTGCTGAAATCGAGATGACCTTGTGAACACGACCAGTGGAAAACCGTCAGGCCTTCGTCATCTGGCGATGAAATCAATGAACTTTTGTCCGATGAGTTCACCAATTTTAAGAGATATGAAGCAATTTCAGTTTTGCCATTTGCAGCTGCGACATGAAGTACGCTTAATTTGTTTTTGTTTTGTAATTTCATACAAGCCAGATCAATGCTGGCGAGCCAACTAACAATTTCCAGATGATTACTCAGCACAGCCAGCATAAGAGGCATTTTTCCATCGTTATCTCGTATTGTGTGTAACAGCGGATCAGATTCGGACTTGCAATTCTTGTGTTCTTCTAGCAGCCATTTGCTGAACTCGAGATGACCTTGTGAACACGACTTGTGGAAAGCCTTTCTGCCACCGTTGTCTGGTGATGAAATTAAGGAATTTTTGTCCGATGAATTCAATGACTTTAAGAGAACCGAAGCAATTTCAGTTTTGCCATTTGCAGCTGCGACATGAAGTAGGCTTAGTTTGTCTTTGTTTTGTAATTTCATACAAGCCAGATCAATGCTGGCAAGCCAACTAACAATTTCCAGATGATTACTCAGCACAGCCAGCATAAGAGTAGTTTTTCCATCGTTATCTCGTATTATGTGTAACAGCGGATCAGATTCTGACTTGTAATTCTTGTATTCTTCTAGCAGCCATTTGCTGAACTCGAGATGACCTTCTGAACACGACCAGTGGAAAGCCGTCATACCTTCATCATCTGGCGATGAAATCAATGAATTTTTGTCCGATGAGTTCACCGATTTTAAGAGAACCGAAGCAATTTCAGTTTTGCCATTTGCAGCTGCGACATGAAGTACACTTAATTTGTCTTCGTTCTGTAATTTCATACAAGCCAGATCAATGCTGGCGAGTCAACCAACAATTTCAAGATGATTTCTCAGCACAGCAAGCGCAAGAGGCGTGATTCCATTGTTATTTTGAATTGTGTGTAACAGCGGATCAGATTCTGACTTGTAATTCTTGTATTCTTCTAGCAGCCATTTGCTAAACTGGAGATGACCTTGTGAACACGACCAGTGGAGAGCCGTCAGGCCTTCGTCATCTGGCGATGAAATCAATGAACTTTTGTCCGATGAGTTCACCGATTTTAAGAGAACCGAAGCAATTTCAGTTTTGCCATTTGTAGCTGTGACATGAAGTACGCTTAATTTGTTTTTGTTTTGTATTTTCATACAAGCCAGATCAATGCTGGCGAGCCAACCAACAATTTCAAGATCACTTCTCAGCACAGCCAGCACAAGAGGCGTGATTCCATTGTTATATTGAATTGTGTGTAAGAGCGGATCAGATTCTGAATTGTAATTTTTGTATTCTTCTAGCAGCCATTTGCTGAACTCGAGATGATCTTGTGAACACGAACAGTGGAAAGCCGTCAGGCCTTCGTCATCTGGCGATGAAATCAATGAACTTTTGTCCGATGAGTTCACCAATTTTAAGAGATATGAAGCAATTTCAGTTTTGCCATTTGCAGCTGCGACATGAAGTACGCTTAATTTGTCTTTGTTTTGTAATTTCATACAAGCCAGATCAATGCTTGCGAGCCAACTAACAATTTCCAGATGATTACTCAGCACAGCCAGCATAAGAGGCGTTTTTCCATCCTTATCTCGTATTGTGTGTAACAGCGGATCAGATTCGGACTTGCAATTCTTGTGTTCTTCTAGCAGCCATTTGCTGAACTCGAGATGACCTTGTGAACACGACTTGTGGAAAACCTTTCTGCCACCGTTGTCTGGTGATGAAATCAATGAATTTTTGTTCGATGAATTCAATGACTTTAAGAGAACCGAAGCATTTTCAGTTTTGCCATTTGGAGCTGCGACATGAAGTACGCTTAATTTGTCTTTGTTTTGTAATTTCATTCAAGCCAGATCAATGCTTGCGAGCCAACTAAGAATTTCCAGATGATTACTCAGCACAGCCAGCATAAGAGGCGTTTTCCATCGTTATCTCGTATTGTGTGTAACAGCGGATCAGATTCTGACTTGTAATTCTTGTATTCTTCTAGCAGCCATTTGCTGAACTCGAGACGACCTTCTGAACACGACCAGTGGAAAGCCGTCATACCTTCGTCATCTGGCGATGAAATCAACGAATTTTTGTCCGATGAGTTCACCGATTTTAAGAGAACCGAAGCAATTTCAGTTTTGCCATTTGCAGCTGCGACATGAAGTACACTCAATTTGTCTTCGTTCTGTAATTTCATACAAGCCAGATCAATGCTGGCGAGTCAACCAACAATTTCAAGATGATTTCTCAGCACAGCAAGCACAAGAGGCGTGATTCCATTGTTATTTTGCATTGTGTGTAACAGCGGATCAGATTCTGACTTGTAATTCTTGTATTCTTCTAGCAGCCATTTGCTGAACTCGAGATGACATTCTGAACACGACCAGTGGAAAGCCGTCATGCTTTTGTCATCTGGCGATGAAATCAATGAACTTTTGTCCGATGAGCTCACCAATTTTAAGAGAACCGAAGCAATTTCAGTTTTGCCATTTGCAGCTGCGACATGAAGTACGCTTAATTTGTCTATGTTTGGTAATTTCATACAAGCCAGATCAATGCTGGCGAGCCCACCAACAATTTCAAGATGATTTCTCAGCACAGCAAGCACAAGAGGCGTGATTCCATTGTTATTTTGCATTGTGTGTAACAGCGGATCAGATTCTGACTTGTAATTCTTGTATTCTTCTAGCAGTCGTTTGCTGAACTCGAGATGACATTCTGATCACGACCAGTGGAAAGCCGTCATGCTTTTGTCATCTGGCGATGAAATCAATGAACTTTTGTCCGATGAGCAAACCAATTTTAAGAGAACCGAAGCAATTTCAGTTTTGCCATTTGCAGCTGCGACATGAAGTACGCTTAATTTGTCTATGTTTGGTAATTTCATACAAGCCAGATCAATGCTGGCGAGCCCACCTACAATTTCAAGATGTTTTCTCAGCACAGCCAGCACAAGAGGCGTGATTCCATCAACATCTCGTATTGTTTGTAACAGCGGATCAGATTCTGACTTGTAATTCTTGTATTCTTCTAGCAGCCATTTGCTGAACTCGAGATGACCTTCTGAACACGACCAGTGAAAACCCGTCATGCTTTTGTCATCTGGCGCTGAAAACAATGAACTTTTGCCGATGAAACACGACCGGTGGAAAGCTGTTCTGCCATCGTCATCTGGCGATGAAATCAATGAACTTTTGCCCGATGAGTTCACCGATTTTAAGAGAACCGAAGCAATTTCAGTTTTGCCATTTGCAGCTGCGACATGAAGTACGCTTAATTTGTCTTTGTTTGGTAATTTCATACAAGCCAGATCAATGCTGGAGAGCCAACCAACAATTTTAAGATGATTTCGCAGCACATCCAGCACAAGAGGCGTGGTTCCATCAAAATCTCGTATTGTGTGTAACAGCGGATCAAACTCTGACTTGTAATTCTTGTATTCTTCTAGCAGCCATTTGCTGAACTCGAGATGACCTTCTGAGCACGACCAGTGGAAAGCCGTCATGCTTTTGTCATCTGGCGATGAAATCAATGAACTTTTGTCCGAAGAGCTCACCAATTTTAAGAGAACCGAAGCAATTTTAGTTTTGCCATTTGCAGCTGCGACATGAAGTACGCTTAATTTGTTCTTGTTTGGTAATTTCGTACAAGCCAGCTCAATGCTGGCGAGCCAACCAACATTTTCAAGATGTTTTCTCAGCACAGCCAGCACAAGAGGCGTTATTCCATTGTTATATTGAATTGTGTGTAACAGTCGATCAGATTCTGACTTGTAATTATTGTATTCTTCTAGCAGCCATTTGCTGAACTCGATTTGACCTTTTAAACACGACCAGTGCAAAGCCGTCACGCCTTTGTCATCTGGCGATGAAATCAATGAACTTTTGTCCGATGAGTTCACCGATTTTAAGAGAACCGAAGCAATTTCAGTTTTGCCATTTGCAGCTGCGACATGAAGTACGCTTAATTTGTCTTTGTTTGGTAATTTCATACAAGCCAGATCAATGCTGGCGAGCTAACCAACAATTTCAAGATGATTTCTCAGCACAGCCAGCACAAGAGGCGTTATTCCATTGTTATATTGAATTGTGTGTAACAGCCGATCAGATTCTGACTTGTAATTATTGTATTCTTCTAGCAGCCATTTGCTGAACTCGAGATTACCTTCTGAACACGACCACTGGAAAGCCGTCATGCCTTCGTCATCTGGCGATGAAATCAATGAACTTTTGTCCGATGAGTTCACCAATTTTAAGAGAACCGAAGCAATTTCAGTTTTGCCATTTGCAGCTGCGACATGAAGTACGCTTAATTTGTCTTTGTTTGGTAATTTCATACAAGCCAGATCAATGCTGGCGAGCTAACCAACAATTTCAAGATGATTTCTCAGCACAGCCAGCACAAGAGGCGTGATTCTATCAAAATCTCGTATTGTGTGTAACAGCGGATCCGATTCTGACTTGTAATTCTTGTATTCTTCTAGCAGCCATTTGCTGAACTCGAGATTACCTTCTGAACACGACCAGTGGAAAGCCGTCATGGCTTCGTCATCTGGCGATGAAATCAATGAACTTCAGTTCATCAGATTCGGACTTGCAACTCTTGTATTCTTCTAGCAGCCATTTGCTGAACTCGAGATGACCCTGTGAAGACGACTTGCGCAAAGCCGTTCTGCCACCATTGTCTGGTGATGAAATCAATGAACTTTTGTCCGATGAGTTCAACGACTCAAAAAGAGCAGAAGCAATTTCAGTTTTGCGTTTGCAGCTGCTACATGAAGTTTGCTTACTTTGTCTTTGTTTTGTTTTTTCATACAAGCCGGATCAATGCTGGCAAGCCAACTAACAATTTCAAGATGCTTTCTCAGCACAGCCAGCATAAGAGGCGCGAGTCCAATGTTACTTTGAATTGTGTGTAACAGCGGATCAGATTCGGACTTGCAATTCTTGTATTCTTCTAGCAGCCATTTGCTGAACTCGAGATGACCCTGTGAAGACGACTTGTGCAAAGCCGTTCTGCCACCCTTGTCTGGTGATGAAATCAATGAACTTTTGTCCGATGAGTTCAACGACTCAAAAAGAGCAGAAGCAATTTCAGTTTTGCCGTTTGCAGCTGCTACATGAAGTTTGCTTAATTTGTCTTTGTTTTGTTTTTTCATACAAGCCGGCTCAATGCTGGCAAGCCAACAAACAATTTCAAGATGATTTCTCAGCACAGCCAGCATAAGAGGCGCGAGTCCAATGTTACTTTGAATTGTGTGTAACAGCGGATCAGATTCGGACTTGCAATTCTTGTATTCTTCTAGCAGCCATTTGCTGAACTCGAGATGACCCTGTGAACACGACTTGTGCAAAGCCGTTCTGCCACCCTCGTCTGGTGATGAAATCAATGAACTTTTGTCCGATGAGTTCAACGACTCAAAAAGAGCAGAAGCAATATCAGTTTTGCCGTTTGCTGCTGCGACATGTAATTTGCTTAATTTGTCTTTGTTTTGTTTTGTTTTTTCATACAAGCCGGCTCAAAGCTGGCAAGCCAACTAACAATTTCAAGATGATTTCTCCGCACAGCCAGCATAAGAGGCGTGATTCCATAGTTACTTTGAATTGTGTGTAACAGCGGATCAGATTCTGACTTGCAATTCTTGTATTCTTCAAGCAGCCAATTGCTGAACTCGAGATGACCCTGTGAACACGACGAGTGGAAAGCCGTCCGGCCTTCGTCATCTGGCGATGAAATCAAGGAACTTTTGTCCGATGAGTTCACTATTTTAAGAGAACCGAAGCAATTTCAGTTTTGCCCTTTAAAG